AGAAACTTAGTTACAACCAATGAAGGCATTAAAGGGCCTGTTCTCAACACATCAGAGGCTGCAGGTGGCAGACAAGGCTAAGCAGCCCTGGGGCCAAGGAGAGAAGGGACGGGGCGGGCTGCTGCCAGCACGGTGAGGAGTCAGGTGGTTCTGGCACCTGCCAGGTGGGCTCAGGGATGACTGACAGCAGCCTCGGAGCCTATCTCAGCAAACGACCTGGGAACAGAGTCAGCGGGTGGGGGTCCGGGAGCAGCCACTCCCTCACCCAGCTGGCCTGCCTGTACATGGGCAAGAGCGCCCCGGGCTGGCCCCTCTCTGCCTGCCCTCCCTTGCTCTGAGCCCAGCTTCCCCGACCCTGCAGCCGAGAATCAAGATAAGGGGTGGGGGGTCTGGAGGGACGCGAGACAGTGGACAACAGAGACCCGAGGAAGCACTGGCACCCACCTCGCTCCAGCTCGCTCACCCTCTGCAGCAGCGCGTTCAGGGTGCTCTCTGTCTTCTGCCGGTGAGCCGAGGTCTCGTTGTGCAGCAGGGACTTCTCGTCCTCCAGCTCCGCGACCTTGCGCAGCAGCTGCCTCTCCAGCTCCCCCAGCCGCCGCTGGAGCACCTCTCGGAAGTCGCCGGGCAACGCGGCGGTAGACACGTTCCCTCGGAGCTGGTGCTGGGGGGGCGGGGGGGAGGGGGGAGGAACAAGCATTAAAGGCCAGTCAGAAAGAAACTGTGACATGCAGCTCTGACGGCCCCGCCACAGGGGGAGCTGCTTCCCAAAACGGGAGCATCACCCCAGTGGAGCTGATGACACAAAGGGGAGCGGTTCACAGATGCTTTTTTTTTTTGGTATGGCAAGGATTTCAAAGTCAGACAATTACTTTGCGGCAGTATCTGAAACTTAGGAATCTCATTCTTCCCCTCTCAAAAAAATCGATCTTGGCACCTCTAACTAGAAAGACAAAATGTTAACCAACATCTATCATTTTCCAGCAAAACCCCAAACACAGCCAGGATCTTTTTTTTTTTTAAGGAGTTAATCAAACGGTACTCGACGCGGATGCACTTTCATCTAGAAATGGAAACAGCCCCCCAGTGTGGCCCAAATGCTGCGTGTGGAGACATCACTGGAAACGGAGATCTAAAACACGACGACCCTGAATTCCAGGAACCCGGGCTTCTGATGCCGCTTCTACCCCCTCCTCCTCCCTGTTCCTGTCACTCCCCTATCACCATGCGAGCTCCGAGGCAGCCTGCCGCTTCCCAGCCGCCAGCCCCAGCCAAACTATGTGTCCCCTCTCTCCAAGCTCCAAATTGCTGAATGCAGTGACTAGGACCTGCCTCCCAGGGTGGTTGCAAGGGGTAGAATTAGATACTATGTCTACACGTCTTTAGGGCTCCAAAAAGGTTAGCTGTTATTCATCATAATGAATTAAGGAATACACAGATGCTGGAAATACCGTCTGTAACCATCATGCCCCGGGTAATCCTCAAATAATGTTGCAATAATCACCACTTGTCATTGAAACCTAGCTTTGCTAAGAAGGATTTTGGTAAACATGTTGCACAGAAACGTCCACACTTCGTAGCAGAGATGGAAATGAAATGAAGGTTTCTCTCTCAAAGTTCCAAACTGCATCTGCCTTCGGAGAGAAGCTGGGATAAGGTCCTTTCCCACAAAGCACGCGGGAAGGGCACCTTAGGACCGCGCGGCTCTCCAACGGATGCCTTTGAAGTTAACCCGGCTTCCTCCAAGGTGAGTCCCGGTGCGGGGTGCGGCCGTGACCCTCCAGCCCGCGCTGCGCTCGCGTCCCGCCGCTCCGGACCACCCCGACCTGATTTAATAACGGAAATGCGGGGGGCCAGGGGCCGCTGACCTCACGCAGCAACCTCAGGTCACCCCGCAACAGCCTCCCGGAGCGCGCGGGGCCCCGGGAGACTCGGGGACTTGCAAGAAGAGATCGGGGACTTGCAAGAAGAGAGCAGGATCGGCCAGCCCGAACCTCATGGAGTGAGTGGCCGCCCAGTGAGCAGTCCTGGCGCGCGGGGGACTTACAGGGTGGAGGGTGTGAGCCACGCAAGTAGGATCTAGACCTCCCGCCCCAAACCCAGCTCATTCCATTCCCGCGTGGCCTCGTGGGCAGGACCGCGCGCCCCACCTCTGCCCGGCCGTCCCCCGCCCGTAGGACCCCGGCGCCCCGCTACCTCCAGGCTCTCCAGACGGTCCTTGAGGGTCTGCAGCGAGCGGCTGAGCTGCTCCACCAGGTGCCCGGGGTCCCGCGGCAGGTCGCCCATGGTGTCCTTGCCCGTGGCCGCGCGGCCCGGCGCCTTGGCGCCGGCCAGCCCCTCGAAGCGGCCCGTGGGCCGTGAAGCTCGCTGATGGTCCGCGCTGCGCGCCAAGAATTTTCTTTTTGTTGAAACGATGGTCTCTCTCAGCTGTAGCACCGCCGTGCGCAGCTCCTCCTCGGGGCTCAGCGCGCCGCCCGGCCCCCCGGGGGGGGAATTCCCGGCGCGCGCCGCCTCCGGGGGCAGCGCGATGCACACGAAGCGGCTGCCGGGCGCCGGGACGTCCTGCGCCGCGGCGGCCACGGCGAGCGCCACCCCGGCCGCCAGCAGCGCCAGCATCGCGCCGTCGCCGCGCTCACTCTGGCATCCGCGGGCGGGAGCCGTCGGGGCGCGCGGCTGGGGCGCCTTCAGGGCGGGCGGACGCCTGGCGCGGTGCCGGAGGGGAGCGGGGCTAGAGTCCGCGGAACGGCCGCCGCACCCGGCGCTCTGGCTGGGCCGGCCCGCGCGTCCCTTTCTTAAGCTGGGGGGTGGCGGCGCGTGGGGCGCGGCGCCGCGAGCTCTGATTGGCCCAGACGGGCGCGCATCACGCGAGAGGCGGGGCAGGGGTGCCTTCTCACCGCGGGCAGGCACGGGGGCGCGAGCTCCAGAAGCCCCCCAGAAAGAAAGGGCTGAAATTTAAAAAATCCCCGGGGTGCCCTTAGGAGCCTTGGCCGGCGAATCCAGTTGCCCCTCTGACCCACCCGAGGAGGCCGACGGCGCTCCCCGAAGAGAAGCTGGGAGCCCCCTGGTGCCCCGGCGCCCCAGGTGAGGTTGCTGGGCGCCAGGCGCGGCGGGAGGACTCGCTTACCGGTCGCCGCAGCCCCGAAGTGGGGGTCGCTGACACCCACTTCACAAGGGAGAAAGGTGAGACGTCCCTGGAGGGTCTTGAACCCAGGGCTGTGGTCTCGGGGCACCCGTGGCTGGCGTGGGCTGCTGCCACTTGACGCTGAAGGTGAGAAGGAGACACACGAGGCTCCCCAGGACACACACCCCCCTCCGCATCCACGTCCCTGTCCCCGCCTGGGGAAGATCCTCAGGTCCGCGGGGACGGACTCAGGCTGCAGGCGCTGACTGCTGGAGGGGTCGCCCTCACACAGTGCGTGCAACAGGCGTGGAGTGGGGCCAGGGTCAAGGCCACGCGCAAAGCTCTCGACAGCCCACCAGATGGGGACCTTATTCAGCAAGACCTGGGCGGGATGGGGTTCATTCCACCGCAGTCATCGTAAATGGTGCCACGGAGTAAAGCCGTGCCCCACCCATGTGCTAGTATATGGGGTGCGCACATGTCCGGTTTCTTAGTTTGAGACCCCTGTGCTCAGATTCTTGGAGAGAACAGATATGGACAGAAACCCCAAAAGGCAGGAGCACATTCGTTTCCAAATCTTGTCTGTGATTTACAAACAAGTTCCAGGAGATTTTCAATGCACAGCTGCAGACTGAGCTGGTTTACTGCACGTTATAAATGGAAATCCTCATTTTTTTCCTCTATGTTTTTTAAGAAATCCAGTTGCAAGGCCATTCATCACATTATCCGTTATACCAGAAACAAATGGATTTGTCACTTGTGCACAGAAGCTGAGGTTGATTCTGTATCAAACTGTATCAAAACAAATAAAATCATGATGATGATATAAAATAGACTGCAGTGATTAATCTCCAGAAACCCAATTTTGATCTGCTTTGCACTTCAAACAATAGCTTCTGTTATGTAAAGAGCTGTTGGATATTCAAGGACAATGTTGCTAAATTATAAGAAAAGGTCTGTTCATGAAAATCTCTTCATGGATGAAATGAGAGACAGGAAGTCCGGTCTACACAACACCCGAAGCAGAGGACAGTGAACTCGGCGATGGCTCAGGTAAGAGCATTCGTTAATAGAAAAGGTGTGGGTGGGCCTGGGGAGGGGGCATTGGGCTAATGTCACCAGCAGAACAGGTATCAGCTTCACACTGTCAATTCGACCTTGGATAGATTCATGCCTCCTGCATCTTTCTGACTCCAACCCCTTGGGAACTCCAGAAGTTTAAAGGAGCTCACATTATACACAAATTGCAATTATGAAGGTGATGAGGTTGCAAAGCACTTTATAAAATGCTACATTTTAGATGATTCCGTAAGGCACCAAATCCAGACAGGTTCAGAATGATCCAGATAAGGATTTCACTTTCAATTTTCAACTCATTGGGTTGATTTTTATTTATTTATTTTTTAGACCACGGTGGATCTTAATTGCATGTGACAATAGAGTGCTATAGCTCCATATATCCTTTCTTGACACAGACCGAAGCATTTATATTTTCAACTACTTGAAATACAGCCTGGTTCCTTTAATAATTAAATAAAATCAAGTGTTTCCAGAATTCTAATTTCCTCCTGCACAAAGAAAGCACGAAACAAAAATAACAAAGCCTATATCCCCCAATAATTACTCTTACATTTCCCAAAAGAGGTTGCTATGTGAGACCTAATCAGGGACATTGCCAAAGCCCAGACGGAAAGACGGAGGCCTTTAAGATGTTATTTTGTTTGAACGCAGTATAAGCAGAGGGCTTAGGTACAAGAGTAGATGCTATTTGGGGTTTTATTTTGTCTTCCTGACGAGAAGTCGGCTGGCTTAGGAACAAGGGACTGAGGCCTAATAACAACACTGTCACTAGCTAAGTGGTTTATGGCAAGTCACGTACCCTCTATGGACATCTGTTTGCTCGTGTAGAAGATTTGAGGATTAGACTGGGCTCTCCAAAGACACACCCACCCACCCCCGGCTCTGCTCAAGAGCTGACAGTTTGAGCAAGAATCACTGTTCAGGGAGATGAAGGTCCCAGGACTTTGTTCTTTCTGCTTGTGTTAGGAACCACCTGTGTCCAGGGCGAGCCTGGGAAGGCAGGCAGGGGGTGTGTGTATGCAGCAGGCAAGCGTCCGCATCCGGGGATGCTGTGGCTGTGATTGAAACCTGCTCTCCACAACAGGAAAGCTCACCCTTGATCTACTCACAGCACAGCAACTTGTCTGCCTGAAGGATCCGCGTGTCTGACTCAGCTCCCCGCGAGGGTGGCGATGAGTGGCAGAGACCTGGGCCCACAGGTTTCCCTCTGCTTGAGAAGTCGTGCAGCTCTGCAGCCGTGAATCAGCGCCACCCCACCTCTTAGTGCAACTGACGCAGCAGCCTAGTAACCACCCACTCATTCCCTTTGTCTCCGGGCTCCCGGGTCAGCTGAGAGCCCCGTGTGGACTCGCACCGGGTACTGGGAATCCTGATGAGCTCATTCTGCCTCCATTTGATTGCCCCATCTGTTTGGTTCCCTTGTTCTTCTCACATGCATTTTTCATCTCGGTCTTCTGGGAGATGTGCTAATTTCCACCGTGGTGTCAGAGGACCCCATCTTCCACTTTCTTACATCTCTTCCTCTCTGTCTCAGCGCCACTTGGGAAGTCAAGAATGCGGTGTGAGCTCCAGGAACAGCCGCCAAGGACAGCCCCCTGCAAATGGAATCCGGGAGCTGTCCTCGGTGCTGAATTCCCATTGGGCGGACTACAAGTGTGCGGGGTGGAGGTTTGTGTGTGTTTTTTTGTAGGGGGCGGGGTGGGATTCAGTGCAAATACAAAACGAAATGTAGAGGCTCCAGAGAATTGTAACTAAAACTCTCTTAAGCCTAAAATGCGAAGGCCCTTTCAGGGGTGGATTTTTTCCCCCCCACTAGACTGAACTCCACCGGTAGAGTAGAAAGTGCTTGAGCTTTGGAATCAAGCAGCTCTAGTTTCAACCCCAGTTTTATAACTTGCCATTTGACCTTGAGAGGCTGGCTTGACCTCTCCGCGCTTCAGTTTTCTTGTCTCTAACATCAGAGCTAAGTTTACTATGGAGCATTATTGTCAAGCTGCCGTGAGAATGAATGTAACATGTCTGGCATACAGCAGGTGCACAATAGATGTCAATTGTCCCTTTTTCTTCACTGAGTTCAGAGCTAAATTATATAAATTCTTTTTTTAAAAGTTAAAAATTTTCCTTTATTTTCTACAAAATCCATTTGAAATTAAAGCACGAATTCTTGAAAAAAGAACAGGCTAACCTCTTTGGAGGAGAAACAAGGAATGAGAATTTCAGGAAAACTTACTGGTGTTTCAGCAAGAGGAAGTTATCCTACTTTGTGTGTGTGTGGGGGGGTTAAAAGATAAAATTATTGTGTTTTTTAAACTTTAATTATAGGATTCAGTCCAACTATTTCACATCTACACTCACTTAGCAGATATCACTAGACTGTGTACCCAACTGTTTTTAACAAACAAAAAAGGCTTTTGGTGGCATCCTCTGATTTCAAGCAATAGAACAAGTTGCTGGATAGATCAGGTGTAGTATGTTAGTTCTGTTCTTAAAAGAAGAGGATAGTAGACTTGGGATGGGAGGAAGCTGTAGGAAAGGACCTCATCAACTTGGTTTGCTTGGAGAAAATCAGTTTCTCTATATTAGGAAACTCTGAAAAACTGCCTCTTTCACATAAGTTACAAGTAGTGAATTTGGTCTGTATCTAATAAAAATGTGTAGCTTAAGCCCAGTCAGTGTGGCTCAGTGGTTGAGTGTTGACCCATGAACCGAGAGGTCCTTAGTTCGATACCCAGTCAGGGGTTGTGGGCTCAATCCCCTGTGGGGGACGTGAAGGAGGCAGCCGATCGGCATGTCTCTCTCATCGATGTTTATATCTCTCTATCCCTCTCCTTCCCTCTCTCTCTAAAATCAATAAAACATTTTTTAAAGTTATTAGCTTAATAGTTCTGTATAGGTCAGGCACACAGATAGCTTGCTTGAATCTTTAGAAGTGAGAAGTTATACATATATGCATAACCCATGGACACAGACAATAGGGTCGTAAAGGCCTGGGGCGGGGGAGGGGGGGAGGCAGGTTAGAAGAGGTCAATGTGGGAAACAGGAGATCCATGTAATACTTTTAATAATAAAGATTGAAATATATATATGCGCATCTATATATATAAAAACCTAAGCGACTGAACAACCGGTCGACTGGTCGCTATGATGCACACTGACCATCAGGGGGCAGACGCTCAACACAGGAGCTGTCCCCTGGTGGTCAGTGCACTCCCACAGCAGGAGCGCTGCTTAGCTGACCTACTGGTGCCAGACGCCATGGCTCAAGCCTCTCCCACCTCCACGGCAGTGGCAGGCTCAGTGGGACTGGGATGAGCAGGAGCAGTGCTGGCCCAGGCTCAGGCTCCTCCCCTGGCCTGCAGGGATCGGGCCAAGGGGTCCTGGATTTTGAGAGGGCTCAGGCCAGGCTGAGGTACCCCACCCTTGCACGAATCCATGCCCCAGGCCTCTAATATATATATGAGTTGGAAGAGATTTTTATAGAATTTAGGAGATAGTTTCAGAAAGGTTAAAAGG